CACATGTGTAAGTAAAGTTTACAGCAAATGTTTCTTTTTTTACAGATTTTCCTGTCTGGTGAATGAAAGTTACCTGTAATTGTTTGTTGCGCTTATTTCATTATTTTTTATTAATTGTCATAAGTTATTGTGGTGGTGTAATCAAATGCTGGTAACTCAAAATAAATAAATTGACAAAAACTTTTTTTGTTTAGAGGTAACTCTTGAAAATGCGACAACCTGCAGAGATATATAAAAAATATATCTATATATCCTCGTCCAAATTAATGATATGGCTAAACTTAGATTGATATCATTAACTAAATCAAGTTTCGAGAGAGAAATACGTAGAGTAACTAACTTCGTGAGAGCCAAGCTTTGGCACAAATGGGTCAGCGCGACCGAAGTGATAGCACGGCCTTACAGAAAACCGGCGTGAAACAACCACAGCGTCGTGTTTCGCCGAGTGAGAGATTACTGGAGGCCCAATGCTTCGTTTATTCCCAGTCGCCCCCGCAAGGATTGCCACCGGAGGCAAATGGGAATAAAAATTCCCAGTTGCCTCCGGCGGCGACTGGGAAGTCATTGCCCCCACTTCAATTTCGCTGCACATTGCTTTCTCTATCGTACAGAATAAAAGGATAAGGCAACTTATCCTAAACCTGCCTGTCTCTAAAAAAAAACCAAAGTGCATTGAAATATTTATTTTGATATCAATAAACTTGTAAAAATTAAACATTTAAACTGGTATTTTGTATCACAGATAATCAGATTCATAAAGACAGTAATTAAATTAGGAAAGTAATACATAGTAATCATTTCTTCATAAATACTTATTATAAACAAGGCTGCAAATATCAATATTCATAGATACCTAACAGTCTTTTTTTACTATGGTCAATTATTGATTAACCATTTGTAACCTTCTATCACCCACATAATATATATTTCTGGAATACTTAACATTTAAAATTAGTCATAAATTTCAATCACAGATAATTCGAGCATTAACAATAATACAATAATTTTCTTAGTTTTGGGCTAAAAATAAATAATAAAAATATTATAACAAAAATATTCTAGTACCTACATCATTAAAATACAGATAAAATCAGACTTTTTCGTTACGTTAGGCACTATTGTCGATCATACACTTAATCGTTATGCAGTATGTATTCGTAAAACAATTCTTAGTTAAGATATATTATTATCACAGTATTTACAATAATTAAATTACACAAAATCTCAAAATACAGAAATAACCATTACATATAATTATAAATCACAGAAAGAATCGTAACAATTAGTGTCATAAAGTTTCTAGAAAATCGTAATAGATTCTTCATATTCTAATGTTACAAACATGTTATTGTTACAGCAGAATCAAATAGAAAAATCCGTTAAAAAAAAGAAAGGCTACACAGATATTTAGAGATGAATTCATACAAGAAATTCAGCTCGAGTTTGTTAATGGAGAAATGGCAGTGGGACATTTTTATGAAACAGTGGGACATTTTTACATTTTTTAGAATATTTTTGTTTGGTATAATTAATAAAATATTATTTATTATAAAAATAATTTATATTAATAATATATAATATTAATAATATTATTTATTATAAAATTTTAATAAAAATATTATTTATTTTTATCTTTAGCCCAAAACTAAGAAAATTATTGTATCATTGTTAATGCTCGAATTATCTGTGATTGAAATTTATGACTTATTTTAAATGTTAAGTATTCCAGAAATATATATTATGTGGGTGTTATAAGGATACAAATGGTAAATCAATAATTGACCATAGTAAAAAAGACTGTTAGGTATCTATGAATATTGATATTTGCAGCCTTGTTTATAATAAGTATTTATGAAGAAATGATTACTATGTATTACTTTCCTAATTTAATTACTGTCTTTAAGAGTCTGATTATCTGTGATACAAAATACCAGTTTAAATGTTTAATTTTAACAAGTTTATTGATATCAAAATCAAAATAAATATTTCGATGCACTTTGGTCTTTTTTTTTAGAGACAGGCAGGTTTAGGATAAGTTGCCTTATCCTTTTATTCTGTACGATAGAGAAAGCAATGTACAGCGAAACTGAAGTGGGGGCAATGACTTCCCAGTCGCCGCCGGAGGCGACTGGGAATTTTTATTCCCATTTGCCTCCGGTGGCAATCCTTGCGGGGGCGACTGGGAATAAACGCAATGCTTCCCCTCGCCAAAAGGCCGGCAACGTACTTATAACTTATGTGGCGTTGTGGAGTGACGATATTGCTTACCATCAGGCAATCAGGGGGGAAGGGACGAAAGTCAGCGTTGAAATGAAAAAAAATCACTACGTGTACCCGTAATAAAATATTTTGTTCCACATTTTACCACTTTGTCGGCGTGATTGATATATGTACATATTGGCGCCAAATTTCAATTTTCTAGTGCTTACGGTCACCGAGAGTATCCGCGGCCGGACGGGTAGACAGACATGCATAGCAAAAATATAAGGGTTATCTACTAGTATACTTCAGAACCCTAAAAATGATTATTATGTTATAGGTCGGTATAGGAGCGGAGGAGGATAACGATGGTAAGCACTCGGCGTCGCCGATGGACTGCACCAAAGGAGTTACAAGTTTATTTCCTTTGAGGCTTGTTACTAGCTATAAAATGTGATTGACAGAGACGATAAAAACACTGACTGCACGGTTGGCACGGTGGCTGGCCAACTGGCTACGGCGCAACGTGTCGCGGGTTCGATTCCCGCACGGAACAGCTCTGTGTGATCCACAAATCGTTGTTCCGGGTCTGGGTGTGATGTGTAGGTATGTGAAATTGTACCTATGTTTAATTTACGGGCTAGCAACATTCTTAGTACATGTTAGTACCTATCTACATATTTGATGCAAATAAGTTACGATCTCGTACAAAATTCATTAGAAAGTAGAGCTTTTGTCATCTCGGATAAAGTTTTATTTTGAAAAGGTAACTTCCTATTTATCATGGCCATAACCGGCGTGAAATCAGTGTTTAACCATAGATAATTAACTGCGTTTAACCATGCGAGTGACATAATCGGAGGCGCAATAATTCTTCCTCTCTACACTGTTTGTACTTGGGTGGCTATAGACGGCGCCGATTGCTTACGATCCGTCTCGTTTGTTTGTCGACTTACGACATAAAAAAATAAAATGTTTCTACGATATTTTCGTTTTTAGTTTTGTACTAATTTGAATTACCTACTAAGTACTAGTGATGTAACGAATATTCGCATTCGCAAATATTCGTATGTTTCAGAATATTCGCATTCATTAAATTTTTGTTAAATAATAATGCAACTGCTATGATTATATTTTTTATTTAGGTAGGACATATTTTAATGTGTTGACCTATCAGTATATTTTAATTCTATCTGGGAAACAGCCCTGAAGTTATTTTCTAGATATATAGCATACATAACAGAAACACACTCATTTATTCTTATTTATTTTTTATTATTTAAGCATCTGTCCTAATAATCGTACCTACAAAAATGTATATATTATGATCAATCAATTAATCTTTACGAATCAGCTAACTTCATTGAGTAAGCCTCCAATCACGATTTGCTTACTTCAGTCAGAGTCTGATCATATCGGCTGCTCTCGGTGGGCGCCCGGCCGGTCAGATCCAAACGCGAGGTAAAAATCAAGTTCGCGGGCGCACGTTTTTGGCGCAATTTTTGAAAAACCAAAATTCGCATTCGTGAATATCAGGTGGGAAAAATTTGCATCAGCGTTCGCATTCACAGCAATCCACATTCGTAACATCATTTCGTACTACAATATGTTCGATCAGGAATCGAACATATTGTAGTACGAAATGCTAGTTGTACTGGGTGTTCGATTTTGAAATATTACACTAACTGTCTATCTATCCTCTCTATCCGGTACACTGGCTAGAAATAACTACTTACTGAAAGGGGTGTAAATGATTGTGAGTGAATTTCTTACTCACTTCTTCGTAACTATTTAATAAAATGTGAATTAGGTACATACATGAATTTCATGAGGACTTCTATCTCTTCATGGGATTGCGCTGCGCCATAGACAAAAAATACTTCCATCCATTTTTTTCCTTTTATCTGGAAGGGGGCCGGATATAGCGGACGGCCCGTTCGGCATCCGCAGAGGTCGCTCCACGGTGGACGTCATCATAATAGCAGCGGTTAGACCCCTCTTTGGGGGCTGGCTTGAGAGACTTGGCATGGAGTTCTTACCTTCCGCCTGACACAGGTGCTTACCGGGCATGGCAGCTTCGGTAGGTTCCTGTTTTGAATCCGGCGAGAGGAAAAAAAGTGAAGCCTTAGTCGAGGTCATGGTGCGTAGCGAGAGGAACTGGGAAGCCGTCTTCTCTTTCTGTGAAGCAGTTATGCTCGCAAAAAAGGAGGCGGACCGCGTAAGGGAGCTATCCTCCTCCTTTCGCCCGAGCCGCGCAGTGGGCAACACCCCGAACGTCGGGGATCGGGTACAAGGATAGCTGGCCTCCTGTCGGCCTCGGCCTAAAGCAGGAAGAGGAACGGGGGGTTTTTAGTCGATACGAGTCTGACATTTTCTCTCGCCTAACCCTGGGCGGAAGAAGTCATTTGACATTTTTTTTTTATGTAATAGGTCGGCAAACGAGCGGACGGATTACCTGATGGTAAGCAATCAGCGCCGCCCATGGACACCCGCAACGGAGGACTTACAAGTGCGTTGCCGACCTTTTAGGGATTAGGGATTTGGTGATTTAGGGATTGAGGGAGGGGAAAGATTGGAGGCCCAATCTTTCCCCTCCCTCCCTCAATCTTTTTTTTGGCTTTTGACGACAAAAAAAAAGCCACGGTAATTTCTGCGGAAAATAAAAGTCAATGTTTATTTCGTATGTTTTTTTTGTACATAAACATTTACACAAGGCTATAGCAAAACTCGATTCGTAAAAAAATATTGCCTACTTTACTTAAGTACTTTTTGTACCTACCTAACATGTAATCCTTACTCAATCAAAAAGATTCATTCTTATTAACTATGCCATCCATACTGAATTCCGAGATGTCTATGTCACTTTCATCTTTGGCGGCAACTCTTATAGGCTTAGGTTTCACGAAGGTTTTCTGACTTATTACTGGTACACTTTCGGAATCGTCTAGGATTGAACTGCCAAGGCTGGTGTTACTACCGGCCAAACTTGAGGCTTTTGCCATCGAACCAGCCAAAACATCTACTGCTCCAACGAGCGGCGCAGTGGGCGTATCGTTGCGTCGTGCTAACTGTGATTCAATTTTCAGTTTTAATTCCGCTATCTTTGGACTAGTGGTGTGAGTTGTAATATTTTGAATTCTTGTGTCATTTTTTAGCGGCTCGTTTTCGATGCTGAAAGTAAAAGGGTATGTTTAAATAAGGATGTAAGTACAACACATGGAACTTAGAATGAAACTAACAGAATAAAAACAATAAAGTCAGACCTGGATATATCCCATTCGTCAGCATCAAGATTAACCAAACCTAGTTCATATTTTTCGTTTCCATCACTTTTTTCAGTAATGCTTTGTGATGGAGATGCACTTACAGATTTCATTTGAATTGCATCCATATCAAAAAGTACCTTCTTTTTATTTAATGACGATGTGGAAGAAGCATTTTTCAACACACTTTTTGTTTGTTTGATAATATTGTCAGTATTGTTAACCAATTGATTCTTTTTCGCAGGTAAGTCTAATAGTGATTCAGAATTATCACTGCTATTTTCTTGATTTCCCACTGGAGCATCGTTTTTGTTTTCATTTGAAATTAAAGGTCGTTCAAGCAAACTAGTGGCTGATTGTGTTCGTAATAAGTGATCATCACTAATAGTATATTTTTTAACTAATGTGTGGTTGTAGTCAGCCGCGGCAGAAGAAGGTCTACGTGCTGGAGACTTGATAAGGTTTTCAATGGACTTTGAATTTTGTTGCACTTTCGTTGTATTGTAATAATTGTGACCGCTTTCATCTGAACCGTCACCAGAATCATAAGTCGTAGTTGCGTTATTCAACATTTTTGGAGAACTTTTGATAGAATTATTGATACTTGGCTCATGATCTGGTAAATTCGTATTCAAAGCTTTTTTGGATACATTTTGATTGCGTTTTTCAGCTATAGGGCTTGTCGATGTAGAACCCGGAGGAGTTTTCAATAAAGACATTGCGCGTTTTGCAACTTCAGAACTTATCGATTTACGCTTATCTTTAGCATTTGTGTCATTCATTTTCACAAACGATAATGCTTTTGTTTTGACATTGGAAATAACACTTGTGATGTTTTTGAATGGTTTTATTGTTGTCTTTGTTGGAGAGACGTAATCCTGTATTTGAGGAACTTCCTTTTTTAAATCTGTTGTACTTGCGTCCAAATACGCTAGAATTGTATGTCTCACTTTTTCGTGAGCAGAATTTTTCTGAAATAACAATATAGAATTTATAATATGCCACATCAAAATATTAATTCGTTCTAAAAATATAAATCTACCTTTGCTTTCAGTTCTTGCTGTTGGTGTATCTGCAACCGTTGTTTTTGGAAAACACTTCGAGGTAGTCTCTGTTTTAACGGGTCCACTCCAGCCAATACTAATCGGCTATTTACTTCTTCAGTTATTTTCGCCCTTACAACTTTCATCGGGCTGGAAGCAAATGTTCGGAAATTGTAACTAATCTGGATTTAACAAGCATTTTAATAAATGAAAAATTAAGTAGTTTAACCATACCTTCCAGGAACAGTTAGCTTCTCAGGTAGCGTAACTTCTTTTGATATTTTAATGTGATTAGATTTTGCATTTTCTTTCTTTATTTTAGCTTTTCGTTTCGTTGTTGCCTGTTCATTCATTGCCTGCGCCTCACGTCCGTTAGACTTTTGCTGATGTTTATCTTCAACTTTCTTAAAACTTTTATTCGACTTTTCATTTTTATTGACGTTAGTTCCTTTTATATCTAAAGACTTTGTAAGCAATGGCTTTTTAATTTCTTCACTTGAAATATCTGAAGAACTAGAAGTCATCGAATCAATATTTAATAACTCTTGAGCTTTACGATGGAGCTGTTCCAGGGTTTTGCGTTCAGCTTCTTGATCAGGTGTATTTGAATTCGTTTTCTTTTTCATAGGCTTTTTCCTAGTATCAGAATAGTTAGGCTTCTTAGATGGTGTCTAAAATAGAGTGGGTTATTTTAGTATTATAATTGTAAGTACAGCCTATAAGTATTACTTTTAGGTATTTTATCATTTATTGAAAATAACGGCTTACAACAGCGTGCGTGTCGCGGCGACTTGCGCAGCCGACGCATGAGTAAGAGCCTCGTTATGACTTGAAACTAGTTGAGCTTTTCTCAGTTTATTAACGCGAGTAAGTCGTTTATTTTAAAATTGTGTTATGTGTGATGATATTTACTAATTTTTTAATTTAATAATGTTCTTTATGAATTCGAACACACACACACCCAACTCACCGGTGCATCATCAGTGCTGTCAATATGTCCATTTGTTTTAGTATTAATTCTTTGTTGTAACAATATTTGTAGCTGAGCAGCTCGTTCCCTCTCTGCTTCTGCGAGAGCGCGAGATTCTTTAGCGTCTTTGGCAACATCGTTCAACTTCTGAAGCAATAGTTCATATTGCCTGGATTGAACTTCTGCTCGATTTGACCAAAGTAATATTTGTGCTTCAGTTTCTTTGTTTCGTTCAGCCTTGTCTTTTTCAGTCCTAATCCTCTAAAAACATATTCATTTCTTATAGAAAATTTATCGGTACTTAATAAAATACTACAATCGGTTAAAATAAAGCTAGGAGGACTCATGAATCCACTTCAAATAATATCATTAAATAACAGAATTATTTACTTACGGAATCGTTGAGCTCTTTTTTTAAAGCTAATATTTCTGCACATTGCTGTTTTATTGTATCGTGTAATTCTATAATTATATTAGGCTCAGCTGGTAAAGGATTTTTGGTTTCTTTTTCTTTAATAGACTTTATGGATTCGATTATTTGACTTCTCAACTTATCCATTTCTTTATTGTAATTTTCGTGTTCCTCTTTTTTCCATTCTTCAATTTTGTTCAATAAATAATCTTCATTGTTAGTTGATACTTCCGCATCCTTTACATCTTTTTTGTGTTCTTTAATTGCATCAACAATCTTGGGGGTTATTTCAATCGCTGGATTACTTTGATTCTTTGTGTTTGCTATTATTAATTCCATTTCTCTCAGTTTGTTTTTAAGTTCGTTCATTTCTGCACTTAACTTACTATTTTCATTATTTGTAGTGTTTTCTTGTTTATCTTTCTGTGGTGTCTCTATGACATTTGAATGTCTTCTAGCAATATGGCTTCTCAAATACAATTGATTGAGAAATACTTTGTCGCAATAGCTGCATTTATTGTATTGTAATGCATCGTTCGATGTTGTGGGAAATATATCGCCTTTATGAGACAGAGTTTTTAAAATCATTGTAGCTATGTTGTCATTGCCGTAAGGCAAAGGAGTTTTAAAATTATTTCGAGATCTTTTTCTAAGTCTTCTTATTTCTTCATCTCTCTCTCGAAGGTCTTTTTTGCACGTATCTAATTCCTGTTAATAATATGGGTTAGTAAACACTTAAATTAATAAGCATGTTATCAGTAAAATCCCTTAATTAGTTACAAATGTTACAATACCTGAGCCAGCGAAGTAATTTCTTCACGTAATACGTATACACTTCGATCTAGGTAATGACGACAAAATTGTTGATATTCGACAGCCAGTTGCGCAAGTCTAAACAGTTTCATAACACCTTCATCAAGTATACGAACATCAAATTCGGACTCTATAACGCAATCCAATATCTGTCGTGTGTGCAGAAAACATGTTAGTAAAGCTATTTTATAAAAATAAACGAATTATCTACATCTAAAACTTATTTTCTGATAGCCAATCAACAAGTTGATAACTGATAGGGAAAGTTAGTTGGTACTTAGTTACCTAGTTACCTGCATAACTATACTATAGTCACTTAGTTAAAATTTAATAACATGAAAACGTAAACTGTGTACTTATTACTTAGGTATGCAAGTAGTTTTTATAGTTATATTCTTCTACATATTATACACTTACGTCATTTAAGTGTTGCTCAATGACAACAAATTTTCTGTCTTTTATCAAACTATCTATATCTATCAGTCCTGTAACAAATTTTAAATAATTTGTAATATTTTTTAAACAACAAATAATTATTTGTGATGAATAATAAGAAACGAGATACTTACTAATTCTGTTCCAGTCTATATGGATCCGCGGTCGATGGGTGTTAAAAGTGAACCCTGATTCTTCAGCCAACTTAGGGAAATGGTGATGAAGTTCGAACGACGTTTTGCACGCCATTTTCCAATACTTTAAAATATATTTCACACCAATTCTTGAAAATTCACCATGATGTTTTATTTACTTCAGAGACTGACAATACAACGTTTCAATGTTTGTTTATTTGTGTTGCCTAGCAACGCTTTACCAAACATTGATACTGCGCTCGAAAGGGCGTCTAATAGAACGTAGTAAGTAGTTTTTATATCCTTTTTGGTGCCTTTCAATGATTGTATATTTTTATTAGCTAGATTAAAATGTTGCGAATTCAAATGAGACTATTTCATTGATAAAATAATAAGTAATACTTACACCAGTTCGTTAAAAAAAGGAAGAACATTTTTTAAAGTTGAAGTCTAAAGACTCAGTTCAACTCTATGTGTTCATTGTGCTAAAAATGACTGACTTTGTTGTCGATAATTAAAATTATCGACAAATAAGTGCGTACCTATACTTGTTCAAACGAAATGTGCGTCGGACTAGTATACGCATATTTCACCTTAGACTTAATAATGATACGGGAATAGGTACCTACACATATCGTATCCTTTATGCACTTTTTAAAGATTATTAGTAAAAATAATCGGTAGGTATAGACTTTAATAGTAGACTATTTGCACAGTACCTACATATATACGATTTTTTTGATACTCTTTCTAACCTCTGATAATAAGCTAAAAACACATGCAAAACCTCGAGTTTGGGGTTTTGTAAAAAAGTTTATTTGTTTTAATTTTTAAAACTTATTTTGAAAATTTATTTTATTGGGGAACTGAAACTGGTGGTGAAGTCACTTAAGTAAGTTTAAGATAGATTTGAAGAAATAAAACACCTTGTAACGTGATCATTTTAACCACTTTGCTTGCTTAAATTTATTAGTCCAAGATACAGAGCCTGTTTCATCATAGAGACATCTATAGCATTATCTATATCTAAAAGGAGCAGTCTCATGGGTTAAGGGAGGCCTGGCGACATACTGCTGATTGTTTTTTTTTTGTATTTTATATATGCCGTCGACCAATTTTTAAGCAAATGTAAGGTATAAGAAAAGTGTGCAACGTTCAACTCGATACCCAAAACGTGAACTCAAAATACGCAAGTGCCTGTTTGTAAGGTGGACAACCTGAATATTTTGCAACCAGCACACGCTCTGTGCTCGAGTTTATAGCTTTGTACAAATGTAAATGTTTGCGTATAAAAATAATAAATAACATCGCTTTGGCAGAATCGTGTCCATAGTGCGGCGAACTCGAGTCGTGGGAGTTTGTCATCGGAGGAGTCGCGAACGTGTTTAGGCAGCAGGCTTCTCCTCTGAGACAGCGGTGGCTCCGGATGCCACCGAGCCGCTCTCGTCTGGCGACGCCTGGCACGATAGCGATGGGAACTTTTGGTACAGAGCAGCGCGGTACTTCGGGTGGCTGTAACATTCATAACAGTTTTAAGTCACATTCTTTGGTAACTGAATTTTTAGTGTAGTATAGGTACTTATTTTGTATATTTTAGAAGAAAATTACAGACCTGATGCCGTATACAATAGGATTGTAGACAGCGTTAGCCTTAGCAAAGAGAGAGCCCCAAATGGTCGCAAGAGGACTGATGGTTGCGCTTTCGAAGACACCCGCGTAGTTAATCACTAGGTAGGGTGTCCACGCCATGAACCACAGAGATATGGTCATTAGAGCTACCTGTAACAATGTTTAACCGTGAAAAAAGAATTCGAACCTGACATAAAAGTTGTTAATTATTCTCCAAAGAAATGTATCAAACCTTAGCCAATTTGCACTCAGCGCTTGTGTTTGCCGCTTCAGAAGACCTTAGAGAAGCCACGTTCATTTTCTTAGCTTGTTCCCTCATTCCCTTTTCGTGAGCTGCTACAGCCTGAATTAAATTAAAAGAATCGTAAAGTTGCTACGTCTAAAAAGGTACTGAAATAAAACAGTGTGTATAGTAGGAGTAGTGCCTATTTTACCTGTACAATGAAGAAATAAGAGTAGATTATGAGGAGAAGAGGCATGAAATACACGAAGACGGAATAGATCAGGATGTAACTTCGGCTGAACCAATCTTTGGATAAGTAGTCAGTGCCACAAGCAGTCATGTTGCCTTCAGGTACATATCTGCAGTATTGGGATGAAAGAAATTATGTTTTATTAAATTAGAGATACTAACGAATATAAAAAAAGTGCTTTTCCTGATCTGATCTTACCGGTTCCAGCCGAAGAAAGGCGCGAGGGTCCATGCAAGCGAGAAAGCCCAGATTCCAAGGATGCGCAGAAGAGCTCCGTTGTTGGTCATGGGCTTGGCGGCTATACCTTTCACGATTACATTATAGCGGTCGAAAGCTATCATAGTCATGGTCCAAATTGATGCGCATCCGAATAGAGATCCGGCACACGCGTATAGTTCACACGCAAGAGGACCTAAAACAATGTAAAGAAGTATGATGAGAACGACATAAGTATTTCATCAAACACACTCATTTGAGAAATCCAGTCCAAATATTGTAGCTTACTTACCCCATACCCATGTTTCGTTATAACAATTGACAACCATAGCCGGAGACATACAGCACATCATGAGGAAGTCGGAGAAAGCAAGATTCACCACAAGTAAGTTTGATGGAGTTTTAAGACTCTATAAAGAGAAAATATTCAAGTTGTCATAGATTTTTTTCATAAAAGCTGACTAAACAAATGTAAATGTAATGTGTAAGTAAAATTACCTTTGTTGACATAAATATATAGATGACCATTCCGTTGCCAGTAATGGAGATGAAACCAAGAACGCCGATTGTGAATCCCAAGAGTCCGTGCCATAGCGGGTTCATAGGAGGAAACTGGTACCTATTAATGAAATATTTTAGAATAAAGTTAGAGCTGTAGTTCAAAGACAACACACGCCTCACGACCGATTGTTCGAACACCTAATGCCTGCTGAAATTTTGTTAATACTCAGCCAGATCTGTCCGTGACAATCAAAGAATCAGACTCACCAGTGAGGATCGACCATATGAAGCATATCTGGTAGCACTTTGTCAACGACGGTTTGGTTGGAGGCACCGTACGCTGCTACTTGGCCACCCCATGCTTGTAGGGCTGCTATACCAGGCCCGGGATCCAAAGTCAGCGACATCTTCGTAGTGGTGTCTTAACCTTGGAATTTTAATAACGTTAACCCAAAATTCACTCGTACAAAACGTAAACTAGGTAACCACATGAACTTACTTAAAATTAAGGAGAGGAAAACTCCGAGATGGTTATTACAAAAATACTGAAGAAAATCGTTAAACGAACTACTCCAGTCTTTAGTGTAGTTTAACCAATCCCGTGGTGCGGCGGGGTTGCCGAGGCTGTGGAGGCTACTCGTAGCTCTCCGTTTTTTTAACGTCTTTTATACGTAGACCTTTAGGATTAGCACTGACGTCGCCAACAAAATCAATATTCATAATGAGATATACGCATCTAAGAAGGTGAACACATTACCTATACTTAACTTGGTCACAATTTTTTCTACAGGGCTGAACTTGTGCTACTTTTTATTTAGGTGAGTTTTCATATCTTCACTTAAATAATAAGAAGAGCCTTTTCGCGCGTGCCTGTATACACGCAAAAAATTAACCATGTGGTTAAAGCCGCGGGCGAACAGCTGTAAAAGTAATGAAATAAGCCCAAGTTCAGGTAGTATGTAATTATCACTCTAGTCAGTGAAAAACAATTTTGTAAGCTTGATTGTTAACTACTAATAGCAATAAAAAACTAGGTATTGAAAGACTCAAAAACCAATAACCTATATAGCGTCAACTTTAGAAAAGGCAAAAATCTTTAAGATACCTAACTACCTACCTTTTCATTTTTTATGTAATAGGTCGGCAAACGAGCAGACTACCTTACCTGATTAGTAATTTGGTAAACAATCACGCCGCCCGTGGACACCGGCAGCGGAGGAGTTACGAGTGCGTTACTGACCTTTTAGGGATACCTACTTACAACTTTCATTTTGATTTTCTATATATTCAATGTATTTTTATTTATAAGTAGGTAATAATATATCTGGTGAACCGTCGACTCGTTTGGCTCCTACCAATACCATAAAAATCTTTTTGCACTTGAGAGCTGAGTTGAGTGCCGAAGTAGGTATATTAAGTACATTATACATTCGAACTAAAATTCGAGTTCAACTCTGTGTTTCTTATGCCCTACTCGGCTAATATCGTTATGAGGTCGCTAAGAAGTACCTGTCTTTAACGTTAACAGGATTACGCTTAGGAGCTGTCGTCGCATTTACATCATGCCTACTTTTTTACCTTTTAGTTATACTTGTCTTTTTATTAGAAATATGTAGGTAGTCGGATTTTCAAGGTTTGGGGCTAATTAATACATTCGTCTCGTAATACATTCATACTGAAACTGATAGTGATAGTAAGATTTGCTACAATGCTGATTGATTGCCACATTGAGCATTGTCAAATTGTGTGAAAACTTAAAACCTAATCTCGAAATCACTGTTAGAGATATTATATATATACCTATATGTGTGTATGTATATTATTTTGCCTGCCTTGACAATGACTTAAACAAAATCCATATCCTTGACCGACTCCCATGTAAAAATAAATATTATGATAGGTAAATTAACCTTGACACCTATGGTCGAGGGGAATGGGATAAGTGTACCTATTTCATTATCATAAGTTCATTACCATAATGGAGTATTTTAGAATTATTGCGTATTTTTTAATTTAATTTCAATGCATGTAATGGTAAAACTTAGGATGGTCCTATCGCAAAAATGACAATAAAATAAAAGTTTAATTAGTGATTACCTACCCACTATAAAATAGCAATAGGTTTCGCAGCGATGTTCTTACTTAAATTTAATAATCATGATATTTCCTCGTATGCTTCACGTGGAGCATAGACGCAAAATATTAGTAGGTAGGTAGTCCAAAGTGAGGAGCAAGGTGACAATAATTAAAAAAACTCATTCTTCAGCATTCATCTTGTTTAAATGTCTACACGGAATTTACAACAGCATCATTGACATAATTTCAGTCGCAAACCAATAAGACTTCAATTGCTGTACTTCTAGTATCTACCCACTTATTTATACAGGTAAAAGGGTACAATCTTATGTATTTGAAACTTTCATTAATCATTACAAAATCAGACCAACTGGTAGTTGTCGATACATTATGTATGATTTATCTAAGAATTTTCTCAGGTTAGATAAGTAGGTAAGCTACCCACTTTAACCCAGCCCAATCGCAACTTGTGGAACCAAATGTTTGCCACAATTCTAGTTTATTTGATGTATAATGCTGATAGTGCATGAAATTGGTATAAAAATTAATTATATTACAATCATGGATTCTGCAATTTGAATTCAGCGGTTTTTATTTTTACCTGCGTTTCTTTTTATGACACATCCTTGTCCATGGTCATGGCAAAAGAAAATATGTTTTGTCAGCGTCAAAAACCGCTGTCAAGTATAACTGTCATGTCTGTCAAGTTTTATTAATCAAACAAATGATACCTAACGAAACGAAAAGCTTGCAGATTAATTTTTATTTTATTAGTTTTTTACAATAACACGCGTTGAGCTGTTTTTAACTAAATAGACGTTGATTGTGCTACAAGTTGGTGCTAATTTAGATTTTGTGTAGATCGTATTTCCACAATAACAAACATGGATATAACCGACGACAACATAGCCATAAGTGAAGACGAAGAAGAAGAAATTACGGCTGAAGTAGTTCTCAAAACACTGCAAAGTGCTTGGCAAAACGAAAGGTTGGCGCCAGAAATACTACCACATCGTAATGATATGGTAGAATGTATGCTGGGACAAATACAACACATGGAGCGCAACATAAACAAACTACCCAAAACAGACCTTCGTGCCACGATCCACAAAATGGAATTAAGCAGGATAAAGTTTATAATATGCAATTACCTTAAGACTAGATTAAGTAAAATAGAAAAGTATTGTATTCCAATATTAAATGAAGAACGACAAAGAGTTGAATCTGGGACCAATTTCCTAACCCCAATGGAATATAAATATGCTCAAGAATATCTATTAAATATGGAAAATCATATGAAGACTGTTGTCTTAGATAAAATGCCTGGAAATATGCAAATGTTTGAAACAAACAAAATGGCAGAACACCCAAACATGCAAAGCCATGTGTTTTTGAAAGCCAATGAGACTATAAATGGTGTTGTGCTGGAAGACCTGGCCGGTGAAGATGAGGAGATAGATTTAGAAGGTTTGTGTCTATGTTTTTGTACTTTTTATTACTTTGGGCTGTTATGTACTTACCTAATAACTACTGTGGGGCATAATTTATTTATTGAGATAAAATAGCTAACTGAAAAAAGATCTATTAGTCCCTCTAATAGTTACTAGTTTAGCTTGTGATATGTGTAATATTCAAATAGTTGGTAAAATGTACTCAAGTAAATCAAGAAATATGAGCAGAAATAAAAATAATTGTATTTGTTTCAGAGGGATCCCAACATATTCTTCAGTATAAACCAATAGCAGATCTTGTTAAAAATGGAAAAGTGCAACTTATCTGAAAATAAATCAATTTTCAAGAAATGTTATTTTGTTTTCTTTAACCCGTGGTATGCCGGGAGCGCAGATATACGCGAGACACAATGTGTTTTCTATTGTGTCTCATATACCGGCAGACTAGCGGTTAAGTAATAAAACTTTTTGTTATGGGCCTGTGGATGACTCCCCATAAGCAAACAATTCAATTCAGGCCCCCTGGGGAACACATAACTCTAGCAGAAAATTCCACTCCTCAACAGATTGATGAAAATGTACCACTTTATTGACAAACACAAGATTTGGTTACTATCACAGATTGAACCAACAAGGGCTGATGTTCAGCCCTGGCCTGGAGTAGAAAAAAAAGCAAGTATTTGGTAAGTAATAATAAATTAACACACACTAAAAAACTTAATCATTAGATCTTTATTTTCAATCAAATACACACACAAGGCAAACAGTAAGTACACAAGTAGATGTAGATAAATAATTTATTTGAAAAAATATAATAGTCGGAAGTAAGGACCTCTGAGTATCCTTTATAGATAATACATTAAATTTATAATCAGCTTTGATTTCAGCTGTCTTCCTATATTTGTACAATAATTATAATAATCTGTATAAACATTAATCTCAATTTTTAAGGCGCTTTCTTCGTTGAGTAAGGCAAATTCAACAATCACTCTAATGAGGTCACTCAGTTTGACAATATAAATTACAATTACCTACTGCTTAATTAAAGCAGTACTTATAAATATCATAATTATTCTATAACTTGAAGCTATGAATAGTGGTTGGTATAAGTACACTGCATAATGCATATTATCATTTTAAGTAAGTACTTTTATGGCTGGAATGTCATCATTTGTATTATAATATGGAGTTATCATGGGTCTATAATCTACTAAATTATTGACTATAAAAGTTTGTAGATGTTTTGTGACAAAAGCTCAATTTTACCTGTAAGGATGTAGTAGTAGTGCTTTACACATTAAAACTAAGTACCTACCTTGTCAAAATTGTTTAAAAAATCTTTGTCATTGGCAGTCACAGCTTTATCACTGAGGTTATAACAGTTTTAAATTAATTTATAGTAACTTAATAATAAGTACAACTACCTACTTGTGATAGTATTAAATGAAAAGAAAATATTAATTGTATAAAATGTTCATAACTCTCTTAGAGATAACATTACAAATACGAAATTTTAATATAACAACAATCAACATTATATTACCTATATAGAATTTTTTCTGGTTTATCTATGTAAAAATCAAAGGCACTAATGAATGAACGTTTTGTAAATGTAATAATTACAGAGGTGGGCCAAGCCCTTAGTAAATGATCATAGCTTATCTAATGTTATTGTAAATATCAACATATTTTTGTTTACTGAATAAATAGGCCGCATTTAAGCAAACAACAATCCCATTCTCAAATCATCGGTAGATACACAAAGCTCCAACACGAGCATAAGATCAATTTTTGTGACCCACTTTGAGACAGCAGTTATTTGATACCTACATACGGAACTTAAAGACTAAAACAACTTTCTCTTTGGGAAGTCACAGTGGGGAAATAATTAAATAACACCATTAAGCACAGAGTATATACTGGTCCATTAAGTACTGTTATTGGTTGTTTATGTTGTTATCGTCTGCGTCGACGTATTTGATGTGCAACGCGTGCGCGGCCGCTGCCAGGTCGCGGAGACTCTGCTCCGCGGCAGGACCCAACTGCTGCACCATACGGGTGAAGTGACCCTCGGGCTTTTGTAGCAGTTCGTGTGGATGACCACATTCCACTATCTCACCGGCTTCCATTACCTGAAATTAATAGGAGTCATAATCCGATTGAAAAGAACGTTTTATCTAGGTAGGTATTCCTTATCGAAAATATGTTTTGAGGTACCTAGACCCAAAGGTGAAGGTCCATAATGTCCCAATATAAAAGTAGTTCAGTGTTACTAGAGAGGTTGCATATTTTAAATGTTATCTTAATTGTATTTCGAATAGGCAAATTGGTTTTATGATTCAAGCCGTTAAACTCCTAACGCTGCCATAACCATAGGCTTATCGCAATTTGTCCAAGATTTTTTTGTTTTGACGCAACTAATATCTAAGTATGGTTCATTTAGAGAAATGAATATAGAAAAATGGCTGAATCAAGTAGGTATACTCACAACAACTCTATCAGAATCAGCGACCGTGTGCAGTCGATGTGCCACCGTGATTACGGTGCAATCCGCAAAATGTGTCCGAATCGATTTTTGAATAAGTGCATCCGTACTGTGGAAAAACAGATAACATCAGTAGATCAAGAAAATTTTATTAAATCGATGTGTAAGATTAAAATTCCTCAAAATAATTTCTTACTTCGGATCAACATTCGCTGTAGCTTCATCGAGCACAAGAAGCTTGTTGCGACCTAGAGCTGCACGCGCTAAGCAGAGCAATTGTCTCTGACCAGCGCTGAAGTTGGAACCGCCTGACTGAACGGCTGATGACAAGGACGTTACACTGCGCTTTAATTCAACCTGCAAAACACCAGAAACACATGAATCATTCTGCATTATACTTATGTAATATTTTTGTACAAAGATGTTAATAGACCGTAAATATACCTGTTCTAATGCTGTCCAAATATCAGCGTCAGTATATTTGTCAAATGGATCCATATTGTAACGCAAACTAGCGGAGAATAGCACTGGTTCTTGTGGAATTATTGATATCTTTGATCTCAGCTCCTGTAAATTGCAATGAAGATATCAGACCAGTGAAACACAAAAGTTAGAGTTTGTTAAATCGCGTATGTATCGATTTTTACCTTCAAAGCGATGTCGCCAGTATCAACGTCATCAATGAAAACATTTCCTTCAATAGGCGCCAAGCGGAACAGAGCGGATATCAGTGAAGACTTGCCAGCTCCCGTACGTCCGACTACTCCCACCTAAAAACATAATGTATTTTATAGTTACAAGGACTAATCGTTGGCAAGCGTGTGTATCAAAAGCATCGCAGCCAAATAACTTACTTTCCATCCGCTTTCAATAACAATATTTAGTTTTTTGAGCACTGGGTCAGCATCTTTGTCGTATCGTAACGAGAGGTCCTTGAAGACCAGCCTTGCGCGTTGAGGCCAGCCGGCGGGCGGCGCGGGGCCATCCGTCACTTCGCGTGGCAGCGATGTGAACTGCACTACACGCTCCACACTCGTCATCTGTGAGATCACTTCCGTCGCTTGTTTCACACCGTACTGCACCATATTCACCAAGATCAAACCCTGACTAATCGCCAAACCGACGTTTCCTGACTTCGTAGTCCCTGTTTACATAAAACAATCATAACAAGAGGTCAAATCAAAAAAAATCTATCCAGCTACTCAATATTTTATTACTAACCGTCATCGAGGAACAAGAATGTGTAGGCTACGACCACTACATAAGTCGCACAAATAAGACTTAACCAAATAGAGAATGCAGTATTCGTGACGATCGTTAAGTACCTGGAAAAAAGAAAACACAAATAAAATTGAAAATTGATTCTAGAGTGCTATGAACGAAGCGAGGGAGCGCCATGCTTCGGCACAAATGGGCTGGCCTGACCGAAGTGATACCATGGCCTCACAGAAAACCGGCGTTACTTATACTTTCGTTGTATTTCGCCGTTAGTCGCCGTGGTTAGCAGATGCCCAATCCTTCCTCCTCTCCCCCCATCCTCAATCCTCAAAATACCTATCCTTAAAACCCGTGACATAAATAAAAGTGTGGATCGCTGGTGGAACTTACCAGGCAGCTGTGTGCACGTCTTGTTTGTCGTCAAATTGATCTCGCAACATATCCTGCGCTTGACAAGCACGTACTGTAGTCAACCCTGCCATTGTTGCCGAAACATGCGAGAATACTGGACTGCGGGTCGTACCTTCCACCCTAACGATAGAATATTATTTAAAATGAAGTCGGTTAACAAGAAAATTAAAAGAACCATGCCGAAGTTTTTTTTTAATTAGGTACTAACCTTTTAATAGCCTGTGCTGTACTGAGGAAGATCACAGTCCAAATATACATGAGGATACCACAAACTCCTGTTGTCAGCAACATGTAGGGGTTAACTATCGCTACCATCACTAGAATACCCATCATCACCATGAATATCTGTAAAAAAGATAGCCACAGTTATTTACGTCCAAGGCAATGTACTTTCAGTATATTTTAGGATAAATGGTTAGTTTTCAACTCACTTGAATACTGTCCAAATACATCCTGGGTAGGATCTCATCAACTACACCCATGTCTTTGGAGAACCTGTTAAGTATACGACCCGAAGGGTTGGTGTCAAAGAAGCGCATGGTAGCCGCCAGAATATTGCTGAACATCTGGTTGTGCAACTTTATGGAACTTCGCATGCACACCCACAGGAACAAAATTGATCTAGAAATAAAATTCGATAAATTAAGTATGTTTGACAAAACCATTTTTGGGGTTTTTATTGCTTTATTTATGGTGCACCTTGAGCAACTTGAATAAAATGAAAACTTCAATTACCTTCCAGTAGTGAGTATGATGCAGCCCAAAATAGCAATCGCCCAAATATAAATATAGAAATCGTGGTTAATCGGTTCGTATACAGACGTAATGTTCTGCATAGTTAGGACAGTTTTGACTAACGTATCAATAACAGTCATGTTGGGTAGTTCTGTGGACGAGGGTATCGTGGTCGGCAGTTCTGTAGTGAAATTGCTACTGGTGTCATTGCTGCCAACAGAATTGTTACCATCTGTGATATTATGGAAAAGAGATGTGGTTGTATTGTTGTTCAGCAGTCCATGTCTTCTTTCCACGTCATTCATCCTGTAAAAGACATTGATATCTAGGTTACGATAACGTAATTTTTTGGATAAACGAGTCAGTTCCTTTGTGGTTAATTTTTAAATTTCCTTGTAGGTCTAGACTAGTCCTTCAGTATGCTTTACATTTGTGTGGAATACGTATTTGTAGGCAGTGGAACAAAATGAATACTTTACCATCGTGTCAGCCAAAGGTCGCTGATGGAGGTAACAACTTGTGCCAGGATAATACTGAACGTTGTCCATAGAATGAGGCCCCAGCCGGCGCCGGCGCGGAAATATTGACGATACACCGCGCCTGGCACACGACCTGTTTAACAATTTTAGTTTTACCACTTTTCGAACAATTTAATATGAAAGTGTTCGTGTTCTTGACCTATATTGTGCCGATGGTAAAATATTATGTAGGTATGTGGGTAAAGGTCGTAAAAACGTCCTTTGAATTGTAATTTTAAAAGGACTAATAAATAGATAAATGTCGTTAAATTTGTCACTTATTCAGATAAATTACTTATTTGAATGTGTCGTGTCATGCTACCTTTTAATAAAGATGTTAAAGGTTAAACGGATATCAGATGCCGCATGTGAACAACCGACACCAAATATTTTGATGTAAGTAGTAATCAAATCATACAATGACGTCATTGACGCAGTGTCGAGCGTAAAATTTAGACCCACACCCTTTCTTTGTACGTGAATTAAGTAGTTAAACGAAATAAACGCAGCTATATCCGTAATGGCGAAATAATTACCCAGATACACATATTCCCATTGGACCTACACAATAGCTTATTTTTTTTTGCAATCTGAAGATTACTAACCATGGCAACTAACTCAATGACATTAGCAACTTGTTAAAACTAAGTATCTCACCATATTAGATACAATAGACTCATCCGCTATTATAGTTATTGATCATCAAGGCCACGATTCAAATGAATTGAAGGCTTTTAAGAAATTCGTACGTAATTGTAATGTGATGCAATTAAGAAGTTATCTACGTCGCAAAGGTGAAAAAATCAAATTAACGAGATAATTATTGAGAACAACACGCATCAATGACGATGCGGTTTATAAATGAAATCAGCAAAAAGGTTAATCATTTTTTTGTTAGGTATCGATTAGATTCAGCTGTCTTTGTGTCATCCAGTTATCACTGGATAAGTGATAATTTGATAAAATACATCAATTGCCTAGATATTTGTCTTGTTTACGCTAACTCATCGTTTGTATTGCGTAAAAATCACTTTACGTAGGTATTTGATGAAGATAAAACTAATTGAATAATTGATAAACATCACGTGGGAATTCCCAACATTATTGATTTAAGTTTACTATTCAACCAACACTATTTATTTACGGTACGGTAGAAAGGGTTATGAGCACATATGCAGTACCTACCTACCTGAATTAATCACATAGAATATAGAAGCTCGTTTGAATTTAATAATAAGGAAAGAATTAGGGTTGACGGTAGCCGACTAGGTCTTATACAAAAAAATAAACTTAAGTTGATTAAGCGGTATCATTAAACCTGCCTACATCGGTTATTTTTAGAGTTTTGTAGAGCGCAATGATGTTTTTCCTTTGATTTAGGAAAAGCATATCTAGCGCTATCCAATTTAACAATTCGAGACCCAATAGAAAAATAATAGGTGTGCGAATCCAGCATTCGATTTTGATGAATTAAATCGTATAACAATAGTCACCTGTTCCCATTAACTCAGCAGACTCCTCCTGCTCAACCTCATCAACCACAGCTCCATCTTGTAAGGTGTTAGTACTTGTGTGGGACTGCAACAAGAAGTTATTGTTCCAAAATCATAATCATTTTAATCACCTGCCTATTAAGTAGTGATAAAGGAATACCGTAAGTATTGTTTTTATAATAACTATCGTGACACATACTAAATTAACTAAAATTCGCGGGTTACTCACGTGTAAATGTTGAGAAAAGCTCTACTAGTTTCGAACCACAGAGGGGTTCTTCCTCATGAGCAGCGTGCGCGGACGCGGCGACGTCGCCGCGAATTTTAGTTAACCGTAAGTATTCATAATAATAAGCATTTATAAATACAATAAGTAGTTATAAATACATAGATACAGTGATTGATAAACACAATAAGCTATAATATAGCATATTTGCTATTGTACAAAAAATTTATACATTATTATACATTTTTTGTACAATACATGATACTTACCAATTATTATCAAATCTTAACAATAGGTACGTGTCCGAAACCCTACTTAATTAATTACCTATTTTATGTATAGGTATGTTTTAATTAGACAATGTATCTATTATGTTAATACCCTTCTATCTATTGAGTCGATTCATGAATTTATTTACAGCTATGAATATCTATGCTACTATAAATACCTATACATATATGTATACCTACGTGCATACTCAAATTGTAGGACAAGCAATAACAGAATCAGGTTAATATATTCCAAAATGTCAAAGTCAAATGATAAGAATGTAAACTTGGAATAAATTATTGTTGATTAGGAATTCTAAACACCTTGAGACTAATCAAAAAATTGGAAGAAATGTTTTATTTCTTTTATCTAAGTACCTACGAATTTACGAGTGTAGCTCACTATCAGCATGGTTAGAAGTAAAATTTAAATGATAAAAAAGGTTTTATTTTAATAATAACTATTTACCCTTTTTTCAGACGCTTTTAAATTTAGTCCTGCTTAGGTCACTATTCAAAGTTGCTCGACTAGTTTCAAGTGACGGCAAGGGATCGTAATGAGCATATTCGAACAACACTATAAACATAATAATTATAAGTACCTACCTAAGAGAGAAAAAGGGAATTTAAGCAAACAATTATATTATGTAATACCTGTATAGAAAGAGTTCTTTGTCGAAGGTACTGAACTTTCGGTTCTTCTGGCTGTTCCTCTTCCTGGAGCAACTCCGCAAATAGTGGTGACCGCGACACATCATCAAATGATCCAGAAGTCTCTATTTCGCCCTGAAACAAACCAAATTACATTTTATGAGTACACCATTAATTAGAAAATATTAAATTGTTTCAAATAAAATGACGATATTACAATTGCTTAATAAAATTGAGTCGTCTATTAAAATTTGAAAAAAAAAATATAAGTACCTACCTATAGCATACCAAAATGTTAAATGTTGTTCTACCCTACTTCCTTTTAACCTTGCCATGTTATCGCACATTGATATTTTTAACGGTCAACACTGACGCCTGATGAAAGATGACATGAATATATTTCGATTCAGAGATATAGGATTACATGACGTTGTTTGTCGTAGCGGTGAATCAGCATGATGAAGCATATTAATTACTCACTGTTTCAATCAAATCGCTCACGATATTGAGTACACAGTGCTCATTTATTAAACTTTGATTTAATATTATTGACAGTATATTTTGCTTACTTCATGGTTTATATTACTCAAAATAACTCTGGTGTTAATTAAATGATATCCTGTAATTGAATTTGAATAACTATGATAAAAATCTTTCTATTGAATAAAATCCTAAAAGACGACAACAAAGTCATTGTTATCTAATCTTGTCTAGAATTTTAATTACAGATAGAGAAATTTTTGAATAATGAATAAAGAAGTAAGTACACATTTTTGCCTTTGTGATAGATAAACTTGTTGAAAATGCATAATGACTGTTGTACTGTTGTCTCGGTCACGTTAAATAAGTACTTAAGCAAATAGGGCATGGTAGGTACAATGACATTTGTTTTAACAAGTAACCACACTTGCCTACAATCTACGCACAATAGATTGGCACACATAGATAGCAGTTAACGTTGATCATTGATACTGTTAATACAGCTGGTTTCCAAAATTGATTTCATTGTGTACACATACCTATAATATGCTCCTACATTTTTGATGGGTAAACTTCAAATTACCATAAATTTGAACTGGTTTTACATTTTTTTTATTTTATTACGGTAGGTAAATAGTACCTACGTAATTAATTACCTACTAAGGTAATAAAGTCGGTGCATTCATTATACTTAACAATATAATGGTATTATAATATGTAGAGTACACAATTTATTTCTAGCAATGTAAACTTACAACGTGGCATTTGTTTTTACATATTCCAATATTTATACACCTACTTTTGCGCTTAATAAATTAAATATTAACTCAGAAATAGTTCTCAAATAATTATGCACGTCTAGATAATATAGCGTTCCGTAAACAATTTCATTGCAATAAAGGGATCAGTTGAGTATTAAACATTATACCTACATACGTATTAGATATCTATCTACGTAACTGTGCAAAAATGATAATTACGGCAGATAACTAAATTACTTGAATTTGGAATTTTATGTAGATCGCATCACTATTTAAATATTTTATGGAAAATAAAGCTTCTTACCTATTTAATAAAATGTAAAGATCATAAAAAAGCTCTACTAGGTAGTTTGAAGTCAAAAACGGTCTTTTATTCATGAGCAGCGTTGTTGGTGAAAAGTACCTAAATCAGTAGAAGATCTTTTCTCACTTTATTTACGTGAGTTATCTAATAGTTTTTTCTGTTTTATCTTCAGACACATCTCTACAAAACTGCGCGATAGTTCGTTTTTTTTTGCGTAATATGATAATGCCAGATTCGTAATTTATTAGGTACCTACATGACATTTGTGACATTGCTAATTCCAATTATTGCGGAACAGGCAAAACATAATTAATGTCTAAATAAAGTAACTTTCTTACACGCCTTAAAATCTAGGGTACCACTTAAGTTGTGTTGTAAGTTATTCATAGAAATTTCAATTAAAACATATGCTGATTTATATATATATAGGCTGATAGATATATATATATATATAGGCTGATTTTTCAGTAGACAGATAAATATTATAATATGAGAAATAAAATTGTTGCTGTCACTGTCTTATACAAACATTCTGACGCGACAGCATCATAATTATTCCCTAGGTAACTTTTATCTAACCATTGAAAAATCAGCCCCTACTTTGTATTAATACTTAGGAAAACATTATGATAAAAATAATTCACTTTGTCTTGCACTTGTTGTTTATATATTGCGATATGGTATTATGTTTGTACACAGTTTGATAACGTAAAGTAGGTACATATGTTCTATGTAGTATGAGTAGATAGGAAACTATACACGCTACTCTTAGATACTAGAACATACCACTTGACTCGCACGTAGGCAAGGACGACTACAAAACATGTCAAATGCATCTGTCCTGCGTCCCGGTTCAGCACCAAGCATACTATAATTTTTTTTCCGTTTTATAATACTTAGGTATCTACGTAGAACCACCAATAAGACAAAGATAAGTAGATTTTATTACTTTGTGAAAAGGAATGTCAGTCAATGTATTTCAATTTAGCTGACTACGTAAACATAGGCACACACCTATTGGGAAATAGTAATAGTAAACATTTCAGTCCGCCAATCACAATATCAGCGGTACGGGAATATTTTACATTTTGAATATCGCAGCTGCTGTTTTAGAAAGAATACAAAACGCCATAGCAAAGCAGTCCTATGGTTGAACGATTCGGTAACGTACTCTGACCGTGAGTAGGACACCATGTGATACGCGTATATGAATGTAGATAGACTAGATAGATACCTATCTATATTATCACGGTTATTCATCGTTTTTGTATAGCTCAACAAACTCTACTAGATATTTAAGATAGCTCTTTATCTTTAAAGTGTGAAGCATATAGTGTAAAGATAGCCCGGACAACTCTGATTTTGTAAAGAAATGAGAACTTACGTTATGTAAGATGACGACTTTGTCAGCAGACTTCAGGTGGTGTAGCTGATGTGTAACCAGGATCCTCGTAGAATGCCTCAGCAGGCCCATCACACATTCTGATACGAGGTGTTTACCTACGTGTGTGTCCACTGCTGATAGAGGATCGTCCAGCAGATATATGTCAGCCTGTAAAAAAAGGGAAATTAGACTCGATGACCTTTTTAACAAAACTGATGAGATTGATATATATTAGATACTCTAGTTTTAGCTGATTTTGTTTGGCTGTAGGTATATTGATTTAATTCATATCTGTTTAGGTGCACAATTTTATGAATTCGACAACGCCTCGTAATCGATTTCAGTCTTGTAATTGAATTGAAATTAAAATTACGCTTACATATTTTTAAGGGCCAACTCAAAGAGAATCATTTATTACTTTCTCACAAGAAAAAAATGGCTGCCGTTCACGCGGCACGCGTTGTGCACATTTTATTGATTATCTATGGGTTCACAACATTAGCATCCTTCCGTGCGCTTTGACGGCTAAGTTTATCTTTGAACGTTTATCGCAGACTATGTAAATAGCACTATCAGCAATCAATAATTTATTTGTATGCGTTCACTTTAGTGTCTGTTCTGTAGAGATCAAAAGCTGTTATCGACGCCGAACATAGAGGATGTAATCGTCATTGACGCCGAATGACCTTCAGGTTGTTACTTCAATTTCCTTAATGTATGTAGTTATTAACCCCTATAGTATAATGTAGTATATATACATATAATGTAGGTAGTATAGGTAACCATCTAACAAATTAATAAAAGTGAACATCACCTAGTAAATAATTACTCATCATTCGTCTTTGTCTACCTTTGTATATAGAAATCGAATAGTGTCAACGATCGAAATACAATGACTCAAATGTCTAACTGTATCAAGGTTCAGTTACCACGACGAAATTATGAGAAATTGTAAAAAGACACGACGTTTTTTGGCTTATTTTCATGTTATCAAAATTGTGATGGTTTCTGTTCTATCTTCTTTAATTTTTTTACATCAAAAATAGTATGTTTAGTCTAGATACTGTTTTCTTTTTTAAGTTACCTGTCTATAACACGCTCTGGCGAGACCGATGCGAGCGCGCTGCCCTCCACTAAGACTGATGCCTCGTTCCCCAACCAGTGTCGAATCTCCTGCAGGCAACTGCTCGAAGTCCCGCAACAGTGCACATGCACTTACCACCTATAAAAATTCCCATCATGTGTTAATCTCTTCTATAAATATAGGTACTTTCTTTTGAAATAGTGTATAGAAGGAACGTCGTGCTAAGTAGTTTTGCTTGATAGAAGTAAAAGAAGAAAGTAAAATATGATATTTTTCTTAGAAACAGAGAAAAACGGTAGGCACGTAATCACCAATAAAGGCTTTATTTATTTTTAAATGATATTCGAACGAAGCTGTCTTATTCGTCCGTACCGTAATATTATCAAGGTCGTCTAAAAATATACTACAAAACAGGTAAGTATTTTCCAAAGCACTTATTTGTCTTTATCTTTTATATCATTTTACTATCTACACTTCGGATTTTTATATAAACTTCACGTGGTACTACTGTTTTGTATTCCTACAAGGCCAAGTTTAATAAAAATGATAGATTGTATGTCATTCTTTGATTTATGAATATGCCATGTAGCTATCTTTAGTAAGTCTATGAACCAAAACACTTATGTATTATAGATAACGCCATATTGCCTCACCTTTTTGTATCGTATGCGATCGTAAGGTAGTCCGAAAAGTATATTCTGTCGAACAGTTGCCACGAACAGCCAGGGTTCCTGGCTGGCGTAAGATACTCGCGCACCTCCCAACGATATTGTACCCTGAGTCGGAGTCAACTCGCCCAGGATCACTTGCAGAAGAGTTGACTGTGGACAAGCATATATGAAATTATGAATTCACATAAAAATAATGAACATTTAATTTGAAACCGTCACTTTGTGCAAAGGTGACGTTAAGTCGAGGTTAATGGTAAGTACTAACTACGTAAAATATGATACTGACATAAAAATAGTGAATGATTACCTACATACACTATGAGCAGAGAAGATTAAAAATCATACATAGGTATATTTTTGGATAATTTGTGTCTAGTTTCTATTTTACCTTTCCAGATCCCACAAGGCCAGCAATGCCCACAAACTCTCCAGGCTCCGCAGTCAGCGTGATATTCCTCAACGTGTTTACAATAGCTTCTGGTTGCCAGCTCGCGCTCAACCCATTCAATATCAAGCCCGTATGCTTTGGCTTTTCTTTCTCAGTACCATTGCTAATTATTTCCTTCGAATCGATTGATAGCGGTAACTTCTCGGGTGTCAGTTCGTCCAACAACAAGAACTCCTAAACAAAACATAGCCGTTAAAATATAAACTAAAGCGATTAAAAGACGAAACATCCGTGTTTAATGAGTAGGTAAGTAATAACAATAAGTGTCCTTTGTGGTTTACCTCAAGGCGTCTTACTGAGACTTTGGTTTCTGCCAGAAACGCGAGGGCCAGTGGGAAGAATATGTTGCAGGCGAGTTGCAGTAGGTTGAAATACTGGACAAGCGAGAATGTGATCTCAGCTCTAATATCTCCGCCCATGACCACAAACGCAACGACAGCAGAGAACAAGATAAAACGTTCGGTGAACACACTGAGCGCCGTCGAAAATCCTTTGATCATAGATGTACGCATTATGAAGCCCACTTCCATCCTAGCAACAAAACACATTGTTAAGAGCTTCTTTAAAAATTAAATTCGGACTGGTTGTCTGTCTTTTATGCACAAGTCCATTAATAGGCTACTTACTTTCGCAATTTGTCTACCAGCTTCTCAAAAGGTTTCTCCCATGCATACATTTTAATGACTTGTACACCGTTTACCAATTCACTCATAACTTTTACTCTTTCATCTGTGCGTTTAGCAATTTTTCCTCGCAATACTCCTTGGCGGTTACTCAAGTAGGCTAGAAACAATAAAAATAATTTTCAACAACCTGTTTCCAATGAGGTAAATTGTAAGTAGGTAAAGTCATTTTATGAATAAGGTCTAGGTAGTTTGTTTGAGGACAATAAAAAATAAGAAGATAAAAAATAATTAGGTATCGGAACCTTAACAGTAGATTCCATTGTCATGGCTATAGAAACAGATAGGTATTTCTCATCCAAGTTTATGCGCAGGTTTTGCAAATGGCGTGTTTATATTAGATACATCATGATCAGACGTAGCTAAGTTCGTAAGTACCTTGTACGAGTACAGTTTGTATGAATATGACGACGAGCGCAGCGAGGGTGGCCCATCCAACGTGCTGCCACACCAGGTAGGAGACTACCGGCACCACGATCGGCATCACCCACAAGTAGTTTAAGAACAGAGCCACTAAATCAAAACGGTTCACATCGTTAGACATCAGGTTGATCACCTGACCTGGCTCTGTTTTATTCAAACCAGTTCTATCGAGTTTAAGTATCTGAAAAATTATAGAGCGTCATTAAAAGGAAATCTTAACAAAGGTACGTATGGGAATGGCATCTAGGCGTATTGTGCTAATAATACTTACTTTTCTGTACAATAATGAACAGCTAGCTATTCTAACTCTCATTCCCACTCGTCCTTGACTTAATTGTAAATGATTGAGCATTAATGCCGTCAGTATACTCAGAAAATTCATAAGAAAGTTGTAAATGTGTGCATTTCTATAACTCTCTGGATTCTTATCTTCAGAAAAATAATTTATAAATAACGCTAAAGTGAATGGAATTAGTGGCCTGAAAAAAGGGGAATTCGATCATTCATATAGATAAAGGTCTACCTTTATCTAGGTAGCCCGTACTTTATAGTTCTACACAGATTCATTGAAACAAAATAATCATAGCTTGAAATCGACCTTTGCTCACAGCTTGCTCTCGATCTCGTAATGAGCGTGCAATTACTTTATAGCAAGATAAGACTATAATAGTTACACAATAATTTTCAAGATAGTCCTAGCCTAGGTACCTACTACGCGAAGTGAAGAACTTAAGCTACTTACCATAAAAAGATGAAGAGTAATCCTACAACTAGGCCGCACATTAAATATTCAAGCCAAAACGATCGTACGATCGCCTTTGAGAAGGAAGGCTTGATGCCTTTTCTCTTAGCATTTTCGAGTTCTTCCTGCCACGCTTGTTCGAGACGGTCTCCCAGTCGACCGGAGTGGTCGCCGTCTCGGGCTTGCCACAGGTCTTCCACAGTGAGGCCATGTTTAAATCCACGACGAAATAAACTAAAGCTCCATCTGTAACAACAAGAAGTAAAAATTCAGGACTATGCACAGTATGCACCTAAGTTGTTGGTGACTTGTATAGTACTGTATACATGTGTATATCGACCTTAAATCAGAACTAAGAAAACGATAACCTTCGATAATTAATTCAAAATTCGAAAATGATGATACTTTTTTCAATTACTTTAACAGAACGGAATGATGAGGCACGAGGTCGGTTAGGTTTTTATTTTTTAATTTAATTAATTTAAGCGTGGTATTCACCTAGTTCATGGAAGATAATAATAGAGACTAGATAACTAATTGTAATTCATCCTCCTCATAAAAATATAAAAATGTTTAATTTATTGTCATTACTATAGGATACTCCTTTATTATTATACCACTACTACCGTACTACGACAACGAGATAATAAGAAATTCTTATTGTCTCTTTCTTATTAAGAATACCTACTTACTTCTATCTCAATTTTTATGAGTGGCTAGTGGCATAGTTTGCATTTTTTTGCTTCTGTTATTTGTTATAATAAATGTAGGTAGGATTTCAGCGGTACCTAATACCGAGGGCTGGGATCTAGCCAAGAAGTTACCGTATCGATACATGTACCTAGTATCAATAAAAATGTCGAACTCTATAGTGCGACTCTGAACGAACGAACATCAAATTTTAAGTTTTTACCCATGCGGGCTCCGGTCCGGGCCATCCGAGCTCTTATCCAAGTTTTAAGCCTAACTCGCCTGGCACCCTAGGTGCGTGAAAAGTACAAAAATAATTTCTTAAAATAAGTACCGTACCTAGATTTCAAATTTTGAAGTAGTGTTTACTTGTAGCCTGTGTCGATATTTAATGCATGATTCGTAAATGTTTCAATCTAGACTTGTTAAGAATCAATTCGTCGGTATTTATCGCGACAAATTGGTAAGCGCATCCCATTGGTCTTCGTGCCACATTGCTACAGTTCTGTGTTGTAACAAACGTTAATTATCAAACGCGTGGAATTAATAAAGACAAATAAAGAGTTCTCTAGCACTGAGGTCGATTTAGATCTCTTGTTTACAAAACAGATTATTGTAAAGCAAACAAGTACAGCTAGAACAGATAAAGAAATAGCTTCTGTCAGCGGATTCACCCGCGTTGTCTGGATGAAAAGTAGTCTTTCTGCGTAATTCCAAACCATAGACTGTGTTAATTTTCATCAAAATCCATTTAGAGCTTCTCAACGTACGTGAAACAGTTATAAAAACATTTACTATCTGTAATTGAAAAGTTTCGCTTTTATGATATTAGTAGGTAGGTACGATTTAAATAAGGTTTTGCTCTGAAGAAGGTTTTTGAAACCTATGATTATCTTCTTAGTAGATTTATAATCAAATTAAATCAATCAAGAAATAAATAAGTCAATTTACACTTATTCTACACGAAATAGGTATTTTTCAAAAATTAAGATAACCCTACCTACATGTCATTAAGGTCACGTTTTTTTTTCAAATAAGACTGCAATCCCGCATACAAAACACTCTAAAAGTGGGCAGAACTAAAATAAAAACTCAAAAATACACAGCAGCAGTATTCTGCCGGTAGTAAAATGAGATGAAAAGAACTAACAAACAGGCTTTTTATGCGCAAATCGGTAAAATAACATGAACGACTACAAAACTCATAAAATTGTATTATGAATTATAAGCACCTATTTATTACGTAAGCAATTTTGTTTATAGGATAAACAGAATCCAATCAATCATCACACATTCATAATCTAAGTGTGGAAAGTTTGTAAGTCCTTTTTTCGAGAACAATGTATTCGACTTTTATTGAATATTTTTCACTAAATAATAATAAAAGTAAAATAAAATAATAAAAATCAACATAGTGTTATTCATTCTGTCGGCAGATAATTTTGTCTACAAGTAAAGCAAGCTCTTCATTCCAGAATTTTACAAAGGTGTGCCGAAATATATTTGAAAAACATAGTGATAAACCAACAATACAGAAGTACCTACTATCGACAAATATTTTAAAATTGAGAATGAATCAGTTTTCGAGAAATGTTCGCTATCAGTAAACTAACAGACGAGTGATTCATATTATCAGTGTAAACTCTAACTAAGTACCTAATACCTTCTCGTGTCTGTTTGTACCAAGGATTTAATTTAGACATTTATTTATTTTTCTTAAAATAGCACGAAATGTTGGCATGAAGCTTATATTTTGTATGTAACTGGTGTAATTATTTTAAGGTGCCTAGCTAAGTAGTCACGTCATAGACAAATACCAACCTAACTTTTTACAATATTATAATCTGTCTATATGCTCCTACTATATTATTATCTTCTTAGTAGATAATAATAATATAGTAGGAGAGAGTATGTATATCAATATTAAAATCTGTCTATGCTCCTAAGAATTAAGTACTTATTTTTTGTACCTACATTTTTCATCTAATCTTACCTTTACATACCATTAGGTACCTTTACCTTTATATCTGGTACCATATAAAAACGAAAAAAAAATGCGAAAATCTATCTCTACAGCAATCGATTCTGCCTAAGTGGTCATACTATCGGCAACTTAAGTTCTATGAAGTGTATAGGTATGCCAAATTGCCAATAAATCAATAAGATCACAATATTACGAACCACGATGAACCTAAGTAACTAAGAAAGGAGATACTGTGGGAGGTCCGTGCTTCGCACGAATGGGTTGATTCGACCAGAGTGATACCGCGGCCTCACAGAAAACCGGCGTGATACAACTACAGTATTGTGTTTCGCCGTGTGAGTGAGGTTACCGGAGGCCCAATCCTTTCCTTTCTCCCGATCCCTCCCCAAACCCAAAATCTCCAAAACCTTAATCCCTAAAAGGTCGGCAATGCACTAGTTACTTCTCCGTTGCATGATAATATACCATATTACAAACGACCAAGTTTATTTCCTTCAGTAAAGACTTTATTCTACGAAATTTACCGAAATGCAAATACTGAGTAGGTAGACTAGGTAGAGCCAATAAAGGTATGCAACATTTCAGAATCTCACACATTAATCTAATCTAATCTAACTGTGTCAATAGAACAAGATTGTCCGTAAGGACAACTTTGTACTCATCTCGAATATCCAGATTAGGTGAAGCAGAAGATGCTATAACGTTAACTGCGGTAACTTTACTATGACTTCATTTTGTTATAGATTAGTTGAAACCATGGATACTTTTTCATACATTTAGGGCTGATTTTTCAATAGTCAGATAAATATGAGACAGTGGTCTTATACAAACATTCTGACGCGACAGCATCATAATTATTCCGAAGATAAATTAACTAACCACTAGCTGTTGCCCGCGACTTCGTCCGCACGGACGCCGTGAAGCACCAAAAATACTATGCCTGCGTCATTTTAAGTGTAGTTTTTTAGTGAGCAACTTTTAAGATCACATTCCCTTGCAGTTGGCGCTGCAGTATAACTTCACCTCATGAGTACCTCTCATAGCGCAGGTGAATTTTGAATATGGTTTAATTCCTACATCCTACGAATAACAGAATTTAAAGAAACACAATTATAAAATTTCTCTATAAACTACATTTGTAGTTTTGCTCTCAGTAGCCAAAATGTATAGAGAGTCAGGACTGGTGACGCGGGAGCAAGCGACGTACAGTTGTCCGTGTGAGAAGGTCTCTCACGGACAACTCTACAGCTCTTAGGTCGACACCCGCAGCCTTCAGTGTCTGTCCCTATGACTTATTGATATTCATCGCGAAGCAAACACTCACAGGGAACTGCACGCGCTTGAACTGGAAGGGGTAGTTATGAGGTATAAGGGGAATCCGTGGTATAAACACTGCCTCGCCGACGCCACAACCCGTCAAAATTTCCGCCTCGATAATATTTCTATGCAGTGAGATGACCTTAAGGCGGGTCCCGTTACACAACTTCGGAGGAGACAGGTTCCGAAGAAGCATGATCGGGACGCCAACCTTCAGCTTGATGTTATGTGCTGGAAGTCCACTTGCTGTGAGGGAGTTGAGAAATTCCACCGGATAGTTTGTGGCGTCATCTTGCTCGACTACGGTGTTTATGGAGGTGTACACCACTTCATTCCCCTCAATTTCCGAGAAAATGCTTTCATTGATTGCTGCAGCTTGATCATTTTTAGGCGTCAAAATGGCCCGCTCGCATGCCCAAGAATTCGGCTGATATCCCCGTACACGCAGCGAATGAGTTCATCTAAGGTGGATACCACTCTACCGAGAGATTCTGGGAGTACCACCTGTCCGCCCCTCTTCTCTGGTAGAGTACCGTCGCCGAGACTTAGAAGGACATCAGAGAATTCTTGAGCGCGTGCATTGCCGCCGAGCTGAGCTCTAATATTGATGGTCAAGCGCAGCGTATGAACGCGTGACCATAACGCAGATCGTTTCAACGAAGCATTCACCTCGTCAGCCCTAGATCCCCGCGTTACCACGGGAAGCGTTTGTCGGAAATCACCACTAAACAGAACTGTAACACCGCCCATCAAGTGTTCGTTCCTGCGGATGTCCTGCAGGGTTCTATCCACGGCCTCAACTGCCTTCCTATTCGCCATCGTGCACTCATCCCATACGACCAGAGAGCAATCCTTTAGCACGTGTCCCTTGTCACTGTTGCGTGACACACCACAAACAGGAGTTTCGGTGCTCTCTAAGTCGATGGGAATTTTGAACATGGCATGTGCCGTTTTGCCACCAGGAAGTAGTGTAGCAGCGATTCCCGACGACGCTACAACAATGGCAATTTTGCCTTGCCTCCTGACCTCTGCAAGTATGCCAGTGGTAACAAATGTTTTTCCTGTTCCACCAGGAGCATCCAAGAAAAACATTTTACCCTGGTTGAGCCCAACGCTTTCAAGGACGATGTCGTAAATTTCTTTTTGCTCTGAAGAGAACAAAGCGACGTGGTCATTTCGTATGGCGGTCATTACGGCCGGATCGTAATGTGTCTCAGCGGCATACTCCCGATTTCCACGGTCTTGACGTAATGGT